TACAATCAAGGCCTTGATCAGTAAGAGTCTTTTAAGTTCCGGAAGTTGCAAGTTTTACATAAACTACAAGATGTTATTTATCTTTTATTTTTACTTTATTGAATTATATTTTTTTAAGTTTGGCTTTTTAAATTTCAAGTAGAAGTAAAAGTTAATTCATTTACATCTTATCTTCCTATTTTAGGGTTATTTTTACAGTTCAGCAATGCAGCTCTATGGAGTAGAATTGAATGGAGATTTTTGCCAGTTGCAGGAAATGATCATTAAAAAATACCAGTTCACTGACAGAATAAAGGTACCCTTTAAAATATATTTTCTTGTTATTCATTATGTAACTTAATTTAGCCAAATCTCTTTTGCAATGTTTTCAAATCTATTCCTGGTTGCCATTGTGTATAAACAGATTGAGTTGACTTAGTATTTCAAAATATTAATAGAGATGAGCTATTATAATTATATCCTACTCATATTTCTCCCCTAATTTTATTAGAAAGTAATTTTTTTAAAATTTTCTTCATAACAGCTATAGTTTTGATAGCAGCATTTTTGAATTTCTAGAGGTTGGCTAGAAATGCATTTAATCTCTGAGTTTTGAAAGTAAGCAAAAGGGCTAAGTAATGCTCACAGTTCTTTATCTTCCTTTTTCTAAGCTTTCAAGAGGTATCATGGATGCCACAGAATAGCAGTTCATAGGGAAATGATGCCTTGCATTAGGCTATGACAGAAGTTTTCTCTTTTTCGTATATTTAAGGTAAAAAGTAACAAAAAAGGGGGAAGGAATTTTTTTGGTTAATGCATTAATCTTTATCATTTCACTAATGATCCTATACTATTGATGGCAATGCAGAGAAATACTGAGTATCTCTTATGTTAAGGGCAATCTGATGTTGAAAGACATACCTCAGTAAGTTTAAGGATATAGTCTTTCCCTTTTTTATAGAAGGAAATGATTTCATTCTTTCCTCCTCCCCTCCTCCCTGTCTCGTTTCTTCTCTCTCTCTCTCATATTACAGAGGCAAATGATCAGAGTAAATTCATTGTCCAATAATAAATTCATGAGTTTTTCTCATTATCCCATATGTAGTGAATAATAACACACTGCTCTTACATAGTAAGAATCACATAACAGGAATATCGATTTAATTGAAAATAGAGATTTTTAAATTACGAACTCTTAAGAATCATAGCTTATAAATGGATAACCAAATAATAAATATTATTGGTTTTTTTTTGAGAAGATGGTAAAGGGATACAAAATACATATTTATTTACATTTTTAAAGATTTTTACCCCTTGTTTTTCAAAGGAAAATATACAGATACACACCCACCCACATACTTTTCTGGCTTATGGCTTCTGTGGCCATCAGCAACTCTATGTTAAAAAGATTTGTTTATACCATCTTTTGACTATTGGAAACCTTAACAGTTTCCTTCCTTGAAGCTATGAACAAATGGATTCAAAGGCCCTAAAATCAACAGAAAGGGATTCTAGGATTATTTTTTTATAGTACCGGTTGAAATCTAACTAGCCTCCAAGGCTCAATCTTTGCTTCTTTTGTTTGTTTTTGTTGTTGTTTGCTCTTTTTAAACAAGGCTTTCCTTGGGAAGTCTGGAAATCCTTGGTTGCCTGCTTTATACTTGAGAGTGAGAAGCAAAAAAGCTGATTGAAGTTCTGACCACTTGAGTGGGGACTGTTAACTGTGGACCTCACTATTGAGTGATCTTGTTGGGTAGTTAATTAGTTGGGAACTATCTAGTGCAGTATCTTAAGATCTTTCCTATTGGGCTGGTCTTACTGCCTGGAGAAGACCTTTCTAATTCACCTGGCTGAATGGCAAGCAACATCCTGGAAACTGAATGGTAGAGGAAAACGGTTGGGAAGGTGCGGGTTCTCAGCATCCTCTTTGCATATTTCCTTAATTTCCTTGTTTTCAGAACATCACCCTTTCCTTCAGCTAGGCATGGTATTCTCTGGTCCTCCTTTTTAACTCTCTCCAGAGAATAAACCTCTGTTCTTTTGCTGGGGTTAGAGGAAGGTATGTAAGGATCTAGGCTGCTTCCTAAACTAACTTTCAACCAAGTCCTCTTATTTTTAGTATTTCTCCTAGTCCTTCACCTGGTACCACCAATTATGAGCCTTTCAGAGATTCTGTAGCATAAATCAGGTTTGAGTCTTAGCTTTCAATACTTCTAGCTTAGAAATCAATTTTCTCAGGTCTCCTAACTTCCTTATTACTTCCCCTTTTTTCCTCACTTACAAATTTTTATGTCTGTTGTTTCCTTTCCCATTCTCCCCATCCTTGTGGCTTTATACCTTCTTTTTTTTTTTTTTTTTGAGACAGAGTCTCGCTCTTTTTGCCTAGGGTAGAGTGAGTGCTGTGGCGTCAGCCTAGCTCACAGCAACCTCAAACACCTGGGCTCAAGCAATCCTACTGCCTCAGCCTCCGGAGTAGCTGGGACTACAGGCATGCGCCACCATGCCCGGCTAATTTTTTCTGTATATTTTTAATTGTCCGATTAATTTCTTTTTATTTTTAGTAGAGACGGGGTCTCGCTCTTGCTCAGGCTGGTTTCGAACTCCTGAGCTCAAACAATCCACCCGCCTCGGCCTCCCAGAGTGCTAGGATTACAGGCGTGAGCCACCGCGCCCGGCCTATACCTTCTTTTTTAAAAACCCTATGCTGTCATAATAATGAGGTTTCAGTAATATACAAAAGTACATATATGTGTTTTATCCACTGTCTTTATATGCAAACCCCATAGATTTAAATTCTTTGTTCTTCCCTTTCTTCCAGGGTAGAGGTTAATTTTAGCTTTTTTGTATCCCTGGTGTTGACTTATTCCTTTGATGGCATTTATGTAATGTTAATTACCCTAGCTTATTCATCCCATTACTAGAATATGACATTTGAGAGCAGATATTATGTCTCAATTCATCATAGTATATATCCCTGCACAGTATCTTGCACATACGTGGTACAATTAAATATGGCTAAAGTGATTTTGGTTGTCTTGTGGCCTCTGCATTGTCAGCCTTCCATAGTTTTCCCAGATCCATTCCTTGGGGTTTTCCTGGGACCTACAGAGCACCTCTGTTGGCTGCTGTAATTCATTGATCCACCTGATTGTTTTTTATACTATGTGGTGGTAAGGCATAGGGAGAAAAGAGTAAACAGAGATGGGAAAGAAAAAGGGGGAACTATGTGAGAGCCATGATATATCAGTAGATTAATTTACATATCTATTTCATATTTAAGCTACATGTTTAGAAAGCTTAAAGTGACTGACTTTTTTCTTTGTAATGAAGAATGTGTCAAGGTTGTATTAGAGGCTCCAGGCCAACTTAATTTAAATTATTTTAGCATTTTTATTTTAAATAAAGAAAATCTTTTTTTTAAAAATCAGATCTCACAACATTCTGAATATTATGTATTTATAAGACCCAATGCTTATTCGAAAAGAAATTATATGATACAAAGTGAACCTTTTTCTCCTCTTTTTAAAATAAAATTTGTTTTACTTTTGAGCAAATGTTTCCTCTTGGTGTCCTGCCTGTTGTCTGCAGTGTACGTTAATTTTTTGAGGTATATAGTTTTTTTGTTTTGTTTTGTTTTTTTGAGACAGAGTCTTGCTCTGTTGCCCAGTCTAAAGAGTAGTGGCATTATCATAGCTCACAGCAACCTCAAATTCCTGGGTTCAAGTGATCCTCCTGCTTCAGCCTCCCTAGTAGCTGGGACTATAGGCGTGTTCCACAATGCCCAGCTAATTTCTTTTTTATTATTTTTTGTAGAGATGAGATCTCGCTATGTTGCTCAAGCTGACCTTGAACTCTTGGCCTCAAGTAACCCACTGTGCCAAGATTACAGGCATAAGCTACTGCACATGGCTTTATATAGTTTTTAAATAAATTTTTTTGTTTACTTTTTTGGATAAGTAATACGTTCAAACTAAGTTTAGATGAAGACTCGGACAAAGCTGTTAACGTATTATCATCTTATAATTTATAGCCTATTTTTTTAATTATCTGGTCCCATTTGATTCTATGAATCAGGACAGATATTGTTCCATTTCATTTATGAAGAAACTGGCTACCTGAGAGTACAAACCTAGTTGGTGATAGAGCCAGAATTTGAACATAGCTCCTCTGACTCTTACAACTAGTGTTATAGTGGAAAAAACTCTAAACTGCAAGTCAAAAGAACATAATTATGACTGGGTAAATAATTCCATCTAAAACAAGTGAATTTTCCTAAGTTCATGGTTTTTACTGGATATTAAATATCTCCTATAAGCAGTAGTATTATACTGTTCTTTTTCCCTTTTCAAGAAGTGTTAACCTTTCATATTGCTTCAGATTGTTGTGCAGTTTCATATTGCACAACATCAGTAAACCAATAGTTATTTCATATGTGTTTATATGATGTAGTATCCTCGTTCTCTTATATGAACTCATTCTTCTTCAGGTGCTTCATGAAGACATCTGTACCCAGGGTTTACTTCTGCAAAATGCTGATGTTGTTATCATGAATAATGTCTTTGAGTATTTTCTTAATGAGGCAGAACAGGCCAGGTATGTTATTTATTCAAGCAAAAAATTTGTTATTAAAATATATCCAGCAAGGTTTGAAAAGAAATTAATAAACCAGAAATGTTTTCATATTAAACTTTTTAAGAACAACCTCAACTGTGAGGAGATTATATTGATAAGGAAATGTGTTATACATAAAACAAAAATAAAAACAAACTTTCATTGTCTAACTTGGTAAAATGCTATATCTAATTTTTGACAGATATAAAATTATTTAATGACCCAAATATTTGCTTAGTAGTGAGGGATACAATAAGATATCAATTCCCAGTGGGCCTTTATACTAAATCTTTTCTGCCTTAGTTTTCTTTTCTGTCAAATAACAACATAACCATATTGCTATCCCATCACAAAATAATGGAAATTGACTAAAGCTTGTAAATGAATATAAAACAAGATATAAGAATATTAACCTGGAAATCAGTGATTAATTTCAAACTTTAAAAATGTTCTTAAGGTAGTAATAGGTTCCCAGATAGGATGCTCTGATTAAAAAATTCCTATAGTCTGTAGTTTGAGGCACTGATTTTCTGGTCCGTTAGGCTTGCTGATGTCTTTGTTTTCATAATGGCATATATGTATTCAAGATGTAGGAAAGCTCCTTTCCATATGTATGAAAAGGAGTTACACTAATATGTTTCGATCAGTGCATTGGTAAGGTTTCCACTGCAGAGAAATAAAAATGCAAATGATTATAGATCATAAAGTAGTTAATACTGAGTGGAATCCTGAATAGCTAAACATCTTTATTCTGCCACCACTTTGCTTTCTCTACATATTCTCTCTCTCTCTGTCTCTCTCTGTGTCTTTCTTTCTTTCTCTCTCTTTCACACATACACACACACACACACACCCATACTAATTACCACTAGGTTAAGGTCACTATAAAATTAACAGTTTAAATAATTTAAAAAGAAATTAGTTCAACAGAAAGTTAATCATGCAAGCAAAGCTCAGTGAGAATGGGTGATGATTTTGAGTCATAGGCTAAAGACTAGCAGCACAACATGAGCAAAGTTGTTTTAATCATAGTGCCCTTTTTGAGCATAATTCCCCAGTGGACAAAGTATGATTAGTTTCTTGCCTTTTTAAAATGACAAGTAGCCAAAACATTATGTAATTATTGAAGAATAAAATATTACCAGGTTTATGTTTTATAAAAAGCTGAAAGAAAAAAACCTCTTTAGAGATTCATTATATTAATAGAAAGATTTTGAATGCTGAACAATGATGAAAGCTATTGGTAAACTTGATTTGGGAAATACTGCTTATTTGGGTTTTTTTAAAAACTTTCTTGGTACATTTATTCACAAACTCTACATGATTCACTGAATAGGTATTAGCCATATGGTTTAATTCAATCACTTCTAAATTAGTGTAGTACAGTGAATTCTAAATATAGATAGGTTATAGCCTTGTGATTAATTATCTTCCTTATGTATGCAAAAGTAAGTTTAGAAGATATATTAATAGTAAAGCATTCTGATATTGGAATCATTCTGAAAAAACTGATCATTTACCTATATTAATTCTATTTTGTAATAAGTGAAAGAGAATAGATGGTATAGCTATTTAATCTCCAAAGTCTTGTAATATTAATCAGAAACTGAAAACAAGTAGAATTATACTACTGTAGAAATTGATATATGAGAAAAAACTGAAATACATCAAAATAGTAAAAAATGTGTACTCAGAAAGGGCTCAGGCTTCAGAATTAAGTTAGATCTCATTAAAGGGGAAACACCCCAGATTTATAATTTTTAGTTTAAAAGGTACCTCTGTGTACTGTTTCAGTAGGTGAAACAGATACAACTACTACAGTGACAGTTTATCAGAAATAGCAAGTCTATATTGAACCATGCCCAACCATGCCAATATACTGGGCTTCTTCGTTCTTATTAAATAAACTTAGAAAAGATGTCATTTTTAGGAACTACATCAAAATAATAAAACAGCTCTAGCCCAAACACAATGACATTTATTATTGAACACTGCTACATGATTTTATATCTAGATTTTATATCTACACTGAGAAAAAGAACGTTTGTATCATTTTGCCTAATAAACTCCAGAACTTACTAGACCTAATAGCCATTGCTGTAACCCAAATAAATGGAAACTATATCAATTACTGCCTGCCTGCCCCACCGCAAAGGTGCATATCCCTGTATTGCTTGATCATTGCTCGCCCATGTATGGTGTGCTATCAAGACTCAAGCATAGTGTAGAAATCCAGTTCATGTCTACACTAAAGGTTAAACAGAACTGGTCAAACAAACACTGCCCTCTGACCCATGCACAGCATTCCATTCTACTTTAAAGCTGACTAATCCCTTTAAACTTTTTAAGTGCCATGTTATACCGGAAGTCCTTCCATTGAATATTACTAACAGCCAAATCAAGTATGATTTCACTCTCAATATTATTTCAAAAGACCTAATCTACTTATTACATTCTCTTATTGTTAGTCATTGTTTGGTTTCTGGCTTCTGTGAACTTTGTTTCTCCATTACTCTTCCCTACCCTCACTCCCAACTATCTGAGTCCTGTCCCAGTCTGTAGAACCAATTCTGACATATTTCATAAAGAATTTAAGGGGCTTTAACTGCTGATCCAGCTTTGTGTGTCAGTTCTGAAAACTGAGTTTGGCCCTATTCATAATACCTTGTAGTAACCTGAATCCTCATCTTGTTAATCTCCTTTGTACTATAATCTTACAATTTTGCCAACACCCCTCAGGAAGTGGAGAATTTACCAATTTCCAGTAGGCCGTTGCAGTCCTATTTCCTACAAGCAAACATTTTTGCCCATCTGGATTTCTAGATATCACCTGTGCTGCATACCTTTTGTTATTCTCATTTTTTACAAAACCTCATTTACCAAATGTCTGGTAAAACCTAACATATAAGTATCACACATAAAATTTTCACTGCCCTAAAAATCCTCCAGTGCTCTGCCTGTTCATCCTTGCCTCTCCGTTCACCACTGATCTTTTTAATGTTTCCATAGTTTTGCCTTTTCGATAATATCATATAGTTGGAATCATACAATATACAGCCTTTTCAGATTGGCTTCTTTCACTTGGTAATATACGTTTAAGGTTCCTCCATGTCTTTTCATGGCTTGATAGCTTATTTCTTTTTAGTGCTGAATAATATTCCATTGTGTGGATATGTTACAGTTTATTTGTCCATTCACCAATGTCTTGGTTGCTTCCACATTTTGACAGTTAATTAATAAAGCTGCTGTAAACATCCATGTGTAGACATTTGTGTGGACATGAATTTTCAGTAATTGAGTAAATACAAAGGAGTGCAATTACGAGATTATATCGTAAGAGTATGTTTAATTTTATAAGAAACCTCCAAACTATTTACCAAAGTGGCTGTACCATTTTGAATTCCCACTAGCAATTAATAAGAGTTCCTGTTGCTCCACATCCTTCCAAGCATTTAGTGTTGTCAGTGTACTACGTTTTGGCCATTCTAATAGGTGTGTAGTAGTATCTCATTGCTGTTTTAATGTACCATTTTTTAATGTGTTGTAGAGCCTGGGAATACATTAGCCATAATGTAAGGAAGCAAGGTTCGTTGCTAGTGACAGTACCAAGTCTTAAAGATTCTCTCTCAGGTCTTCAGGTATGTAAGCCTCCTTTTCAACATTTTTATTGTCAAAACTTTCCCCCTGCTTTTTTCTGATAGCTATTATAATATTCTAGAAATGGTCTATCTAAAAATAGTGACAGATAATAGGAAAAATAGCAAGACTTTATGGCTTAAGCACTGGTTTGTGATTTATTCACTGGCCTCAAGAGCTCTGAGATTGTAATCTTATCTTGATAAAGATTACTTTGCTTTTCTGCCCAGTTTTTTCTAACTGTAAGGTTATAGTTTTAGGTTAACAAACACTATTGAAGTTTTTTTTTTTTTTTTTTTTGAGACAGAGTCTCACTTTGTTGCCCTGGCTAGAGTGAGTGCCGTGGCGTCAGCCTAGCTCACAGCAACCTCAGACTCCTGGGCTCAAGCAATCCTACTGCCTCAGCCTCCCGAGTAGCTGGGACTACAGGCATGCGCCACCATGCCCGGCTAATTTTTTCTATATATTTTTAGCTGTCCAATTAATTTCTTTCTAATTTTAGTAGAGACGGGGTCTCGCTCTTGCTCAGGCTGGTCTCGAACTCCTGAGCTCAAACAATCCACCCGCCTCGGCCTCCCAGAGTGCTAGGATTACAGGCGTGAGCCACCGCGCCCGGCCTACTATTGAAGGTTTTTGCAAGAGGCTTAGAACACCTACATCATAACTTTGTCCCTCAGAACAAAAGGAACAGATCTGTTCAAGGCTTCTAGAATCAAATGAGTAGACTGGAGCTCACATACTACGTGCACTTTGGCTTCTGGGTTCATTTGAAATTTTGCACAGGCCACTTCTTTGTTCCCTAGATTCTCCATATAAAATTAGGCCAGGCCGGGCGCAGTGGCTCACACCTATAATCCTAGCACTCTATAATCCTAGCTGAGGTGGGTGGATCGTTTGAGCTCAGGAGTTGAGACCAGCCTGAGCAAGAGCGAGACCCCATCTCTACTAAAAAAAATAGAAATTAGCTGGACAACTGAAAATATATATATATATAAAAAAAAATTAGGCAGGCATGGTCACGCATGCCTGTAGTCCCAGCTACTCGGGAGGCTGAGGCAGGAGGATCACTTGAGCCCAGGATTTTGAGGTTGCTGTGAGCTAGGCTGATGCCACGGCACTCTAGCTGGGGCAACACAGTGAGACTCTGTCTCAAAAAAAAAAACAACTAAACAATCATCAATAAAACCTTTCTTAAAAACTTTTATGAATCATCTAAATTATAAAAATAATTTATGCTTGTTACAACAGGGGAATGATCCTGAGATATGTAAAGAAAAGGTACTAATCTCCCCAGTTTCCCCCCTTCATTCCCTGTCTTTGAGGGAATGAGTAATGTGACCCTACCATACTTTTCCATACTTGTGAAAACATATCTTTTAATATACATGGTCTCCAGTTTGTATTATAACTTCTATATTCTTTCAAGTTCCAAAATCAGAACACAGTAAATTCCTAAATCCATGGATCTGTCATTTAGTATAACAAAGAGGTAGTCATGTGGCACTGTATAGACTTCGTCCTGTCCATTGTAATACAAATCTGTTGTGTTCAATTATTATAACTTAGTGATGATTTCTTGAAATTCCAGAGAATAGAATCATTCTGCAATTTTGATGTGTGTTTATAATCTTTTTTTTTCCTAGACTAATATACAGTTATCCTCATGGGTTGAAGAAGTACCACTGAACTATGATGTATATCCACAAATGTATATTGACAGAGAAGCTCTTGAACAAATCCATTTATATAAGATTCTCTAGCCTAAAATAGTCCTACCTCATCATAATGTTTTGTTGAGTATATTATAAAATAATAAAAAAGAAATAGGCCGGGCGCAGTGGCTCACGCCTGTAATCCTAGCACTCTGGGAGGCTGAGGCGGGTGGATTGTTTGAGCTCAGGAGTTCGAAACCAGCCTGAGCAAGAGCGAGACCCCGTCTCTACTAAAAATAAAAAGAAATTAATCGGACAACTAAAAATATATAGAAAAAATTAGCCAGGCATGGTGGTGCATGCCTGTAGTCCCAGCTACTCGGGAGGCTGAGGCAGGAGGATCGCTTGAGCCCAGGAGTTTGAGGTTGCTGTGAGCTAGGCTGACGCCACGGCACTCTAGCCCGGGCAAAAGAGTGAGACTCTGTCTCAAAAAAAAAGAAATATAACCCCAATATCTGAATACATATTTTTCTGTATAATCCCTTCTAGTCTTTCTACATTTGATTACATATTTGTAAATAATTGTATATGTATATATACAGCTTTGTTCTGCTTTGTGTGATATGTAATTAAAATATTTGAAAATTTTTGGTTTTTCCCAGTTTCAATTATTCTGTTAAAAATATAAATGTGTCTGTCTTTACTCACTGATTCTGTATGACAGTCCAGATAGGACAAAATAAGGACTAGAAGTAGCTTCTATCATGAGAGAAGGGTGGAGGGGAAGGGTAGATCACATTGTATCCCACTTATTATATCTCTATTCTGTAAAGTTCTTTGTATTCAGCTTTATCTGAAGAGGCTAGCATAGGACTAAAATAAAAAATAATTGCAGTTTCTAGGAAAAAATAAAACTGCAAAGATAGCCTTCAAAATATAGAGAGAGATTATATCTAGATGGAGCAATTACTAATTATTTCTTTTTCTTTAGTGTGATTTCCTATATTTTCCACTTTTAAAAATAATAACTGTATTTCTTTTGAAATCAGGAAAAGCAGCTGGGCATGGTGGCTCACACCTGTAATCCCAGCACTTTTGGAGGCCAAGCCAGGAGGATCACTTGAGGCCAGGAGTTCAAGATCAGCCTGGGCAACATAATGAGACACCGTCTCTACAAAATTTTTTTTAAAAATTAGCCAGGTGTGGTGGCATCTACCTGTAGTCCCAGCTACTCAGGAGGCTGAGGCAGGAGGATTACTTGATCAGGCTGCTGCACTCCAGCCTGGGCAACAGAGCAAGACTCTGCCTGTAAAAGGAAAAGCAAAACTTTTTTTTTTAAAGAATGAAATGGAATATCAAAACTTGAACACTAAACTATTTCAGTCATCTCATATTTAGTATTATATTTAAATTTTTTTAAAAAACTAACCCACATTTTGGAATTATAGTACCTTTTCGAGATCTGTCTTTTGAGAGAGATTTATATAATATACTTTTCATCATCACATGCTTATGAAAAAGAATTTGCAGTGGCAGTCAATTCTCCTTTAAAAAGAAGTTATTGGTAAGTAGCTAAACAAAATGCTAAAAATAAAAGAAGTTTAGAACTCTATATTTACTATTGGTACTACTAAGTTTAATATTTAGGATCTGCTGTAATATTGAATACCAGAATAAATGCTGGAATTCCAATAATTTCTTGTTCACATAGGCATATTTATTCCTGCTAAAACACTCTTACTTTGCTACTCACCCAAAAAGAAGACAAGCAGAGTTAAGAAGTCACTATCACTACTGTTGATAATGACTTAGTAACAATTGCTGGATGTTTCCAGGAGGCTGTGCAGATTTTCTGAGATTTTATAAGAAGATTAATAGTAGAAAAACATGTTAAAAATATTTCTAAATAGCTTGTTTCTGGTATTAATATGGTAATTTTATGCATTATTAAAGGTATTTATTGACTTAATATAATAATATTTAGGCAGTTAAATTTCAAACACAGTACTACCTGTAGGATATATTGAGAGCATTACATAAGATAAAAATAGTAATCATTCTTGAAAAAATGGGTTTATTAGCAATATGGTCCATAATTACTAACATATAGCACTCAGTGCTGTGCCTATTCGTAGGATGCAGTATATTTCCTAAACTCTGAATCTCAATTGCCCTAGTGTTTATCTGACTGCCCCTCAGAAGCATGAACCTGGGGAGATTAACACCTTTTCTTTACGTATCTCTGGATTATTTCCCTTGTTATAACAAGCATAAATTCCTTTTATAATTTAGATGATTGATAAAAATTTTGTACAAGGTTTTATTGATGGTTGTTTAGTTTTTTTTTTCACTTCCCTAGACTTCTCCAGATGCTTTTAGCAATGCAGCCACTTTAGGCTGCAATTTATCCACTTGTAAAATAAGTTAAATAGTGTTTTCTGACCATGAGTCTCACAGGAATATTATGTACAAAAACTAATGATATATAAACACTCCTTGAAATACACATATGGGCTGGATGCAGTGGCTCATGCCTAATCCCAGCATTTTGGGAGGCCAAAGTAGGAGGATCACTTGAGCACAAGAGATCTAGACCAGCCTGGGCAACATTGCGAGACCCTGTCTCTACGAAAAAACAAAAAAATTAGTCGGGCGTGGTGGTGTGTACCTGTAATCCCAGCTACTCGGGAGGCTGGGGTGGGAGGATCACTTGGGCCCAGGAGTTCAAGGCTACAGTGAGCTATGATGACACCACTGTACTCTACCCCAGGACAAAAAAAGAAATAGGATTTAATCCTGGTTCTGCCATTTACTAGCTGTACAACTTTTGGAAAATTTCTTACCTTCACTGAAACTCAGTTTACTCGTGTTAAATGGGGTTAATAGCTCCTACATCATTGGGTTGTAGCCAAGAGGAAAAATGATAATGAGGTTATATTTCAAATATTCTCACTTTTGAATAAAAGAGAGGTACAACATAGCTTTACTATTTTAATTGGTACTGCCCAATACTATGACTCTAATAAACTAGATGGAAATTATGGATGTGATTTTTTTTTTTTTTACATTTTAAGTTACCTATAACTTAATATAGTTACCTCTCTTTTTTAAAATTTACTAAATTGTTCATACATTGTAAAATAATATCCAAACTTTTCCACCCGATTAATACCTGGTTGGAACGCAAACTATTTCTGGCCCTTTGTAGCTCCAAGTTTTGTTCTGCTTGCTCTTTTCCAGTGATCTTACTCCAGCCTTAGTAGTTTTTCTCACATGTGTGTATTAATTATTACTCAACCGAAGACTCAAGGTCAACCCTTCAGAGCTCTTCTTTTGTGCAGCTTTCTCCTCTGATTTTTACCTTGCAAATTCTGATGCCTTTGCCTCCCAGATCTTAATGCTGTTTCCTCAACTCAAAGAGATGGCCAAGCTCTGTTTGGGTTCCTCTTCCAAGCTGTGCTGCAGCCTGGAAAATCTCCTACAGCCAGGGGCAATCATAGGACTCACCTTATTCATTTCTTTCTCTGAGAAATCACTGTCCTGTACTGCCTACTATCTGATATATGAAAACAATTATCTCACTTATTTTGTCCAGTTGTCTAATTATCTTAGGTGGGAGGTTAATTCTGGTCCCTGTTATACCATTCCGAGTGGTAGTAGAAGTCATACCATAAATTTTTTATTTCCCTTTTATTTTCTTAGTTAAATGGATAATCCAAATGTTGCATAAGTACATATTTCACATTTAAATTTTTTGAATCATTTCACAAGGTAGAAGAAGCTTAAAAAGAAAAAAGGTCTAAAAGGAACTGAGAACTGAGAAAAGCAATCATGATACTTTGCCAAGACATTGTACTAACTAATAATTAAGCAACTTAGGTGATACCTCAAAGGCTTTTAGAAAACATGCAAAAATTATTTTAATTGCTTATTATATCTCTGCTGTACAGCTTCAAGTCTTAAACAGATTCTAGGACTAGCAACATTTTGAAAACCCATGCTTCCACTGTAATTTTGCTCTTAAGCAAAATTTAAGAAATTTTCTTATAAGTATGGGAGACATTGAGCATAAACCTTAATTTCTAAGTGGCCAGTTGTTACTCTAATGAAGCCAAAAATAAGTAACATCATTTTCCAGCACAAGTTGCAGAATGACAGAACAGAGAAGGAAACTCAGAAGAAATTATTTTTAAAAGAAAACTTTCAAAGTAAAAAAGTATATATGTCTTCCCCAGGGAGTATTAAAAAAGAAAATCATCTCAGATGAGTTATCTCACATTTTCCAAACAGAAAAATAATCACCTTCGGGCCAACAGAAGGTGTGGAAAGTTTCAAATACACAGTTCTCATAAAGAAGATACAACTGAAAAGGGGTTGTAACACAATGTCTGTGATAGGCTTATTAGACCCTGATCACCTAAGAGGTTCTTATCAGCATTCCTGTCAAATAGATGAAATGATCCCAGAAGGCTACCTCTGATCAAAAGAAAGGCGCAGCAGAAATGTTCTATGTAGGGGTGCCAATGAGTGAGGATATGGTTATCATCCTCCACCAATCGCCTAAGAACAAAGCATCTTTTGCTCCTTTTTGAGACTAAGTGGGATGGTTACTAAACAGAAAGGACGTGGTTTCCTAACACAGCATAATAATTTTTCAAAATATTTTAACCCCATTAAATTTAAAAACAAAAATCCCAACAATTATAATTTATCTGATCTTACAATCTAAAGGGGCTCTTGAGAACAGCAAATTTATCTCAATATGGTATATTGAGAATAATCAAATATAGATGTTTCAATTAACAGTTTCTCTAAACTTTTGCATATTCCAAATTATAGTCTGAAATATCTGTAGCTACTATAACTTCTAAAAGTCACTGTGCTCTTAAAAGTAAGCCAGTTATCTCAAATGCCAGAAAACGTGTGTGTGTGTGTGTGTTCATAGTTCATAGAGTTACTGCAATGCCAGGTTGATGCATGGAGTGGACAGAACAGGCTCCTATTCTACCTTCCTTCTCCACACATCCATTTAATATATTGTCCTCCATTAGAAAACATATCATATTAAACTGATAAGAACAGATACTACATTTGATCTTAGTCAAAAGGCTAAGAAGCA